GTTTATACACACACACACATATATATATATATTTATATATATGTATATATATATAAGCATATATACACATACACACATATACACATATGCGTATATATACACACACATATATATACTTGTATATATATATAATACGTATACTCTGTACTGTATCAATCAGTCGCACATACATATATATATATCGTGTTACTTCACAACAGGACTTGAATTAATTTAAACAGCACAGTGAGATTGCGGGGATGTCGTAATTTATAAACCAAACACATATAAAAAGTTATACCAAATAATAATCGCTTTTGCTGCCGAAGAAATACAAAGAACCACCCAAGAGACCTAAGAACACACCCATTTACACAAATTTGGCAAAACAAGAGTGCAACTATATAATAAGTACAGAGTAAATACAAGTGTATACCAAATTCATGCACATGCCCCAAAATAGTGCGCACATATATACGACCGCTTAATAAAAAGCGCAGCGATGCTATTAACATCTGAATAGGCAGAACTTTTCTGATTATGCTGATTAGAACTCGCTTAGCAAACACTATAAACGTGCCGACTTGTCAAAAGAAAGCGAATATAGAAACTGCGCCTATACAAGAGCGCACCATGCTGTACAAACCACTTACATACTTGAGAGGTGGATTAGATACATCATTTTAAACAATTACTTTCGAAACACATACATTTCAGATCCTTAGAGCCGAGTTGAGACTGTAGTATTGAATATTGAACGCTACAGTGTAGGCGATTATATATAAATATGTTGGATCATTGAAGTAGCTTCAGGCATTTATTTTTGTTTACCCTGTACATCACAATCACATTTACATCTATTTATATATTTAGAAGCGCGTGACTCATAAATACATAATAGTTATTTAGAGTCATTTCTTCTGTCTGGTAAATAATCTGTGTGGGAAATAAAGTACCTTTTTTTTTGAAATAAAACAACAGCAGTGGTACGGGTACACGTGCACCCCAGAGGCTTTTACTCTGAAGTAATATCGATTATCAGCGTATTTGACTGCCATCAATAGTCTATTTTCTTTTAAAGCACACAGGATACTTAGTACATACATATACGGCTATACCTAGTGAGGTATATACTTATACGATCGATAGTTTATGTACTCGTACCTTCCGGCTCAGTGACGATCAGCATACAAAAAGAATGGCTGTTTTAAAGAAGCAGAAAACTGCACAGGCAGCTTCTCTGCCAAGAAAGAAAAGTGCGGACGACATTGCGGCGATGTTGGCTGCCGATATGGAGGAAGAGGAAGGAAGTGACAGTGACAAAAGCAGTGATAGTGACGACGGGGAAGGTGTGTCAGAACAGATGGTTGAAATATCATTTAGAACAAGACCGGATGTCTGTACGTGTTTGTGTGTGTGTATGTAAATATGTATGTATGTATATATTTATGTATGTAGTTCTATATAGTTATATATAT